AGGAAGATTAGCCCTGAGCTAACTACTGCCAATCCTCCTCTTTTTGCTGAGGAAGACTGGCCCTGAGCTAACATCCGTGCTCATCTTCCTCTACTTTATATGTGGGACGCCTGCCACAGCATGGCGTGCCAAGCGGTGCCATGTCTACACCCAGGATCCAAACTGGCGAACCCCGGGCAGCAGAACTGGAACGTGCGCACTTAATGGCTTCACCACTGGGCCAGCCCTCTAGCCCTAAAATTTTAGCTGATTTTTTTCCTTATCTGCTTGCCTTCCTCTCATATTCTGCTGCAAGTGAGACCATCCTGGCGCTCTGCCTGTGGAGTGGGGGTGGGGAGTATGGACTGACTCTCCTTGGATTTCAGACTGCTTAGTCGCCTGGAGATTTCAGCTCTATGATGCTTCAAGAAAAGTTTTTCTATCCTACTCTTTCTCATTGCTAATGCTCTTTCTAGCTTTTATTTCTTTATTTTCATTTATTTCTATTATTGTTGACTGGATTTTATTCTATCAGCTTTTACATTGTAAGCGTAAGCAGAGCTTCTGCATTTAGTTTAATGAATAAACCAGCATCAGAGATGTTAGTGAATTTATTTATGTGATTACTCTGAGAAATAAGAATTCCAGGTATTTGCATTTCCTTAATGGTTACATGCCCTAGGCATTTTCTCTTTAGTTGTGTGTAGTTCAGTTTAGTTTGATAGTACCCCACGTTGTGTTGGGTCTCCCCGCCCCCTGAGGCCCTAATTCCTCCTTGTAAAGCGTTCGCCAGCCTTAAAAGGACTAGGATCTCCGGGGTCACAGATCTTCAGAGGTCTTTAAGTGAACTTTATTATAGCACTGATTTTTTTCTTACCTTGTTTTATTTGGGTACGACCCAAATGGAATTATTTTTCCTTTCATGCTTCTGGAGTTAGGAGACAGATGAGGCAGGGAGAAAGTTATTACCTGAGTACAGTCCCTTATTACTCATTTAATCTGTGTGGTTTAGTTACCCAGGTAACTGCAGTTAAATTCGATTCAGAATGCCAGATGTTTCTCCTTCACCTTCCCAAAAACCTTTCCAGTATGATTTATTTTATTTCCTGAGAATCATAGTATTTGAGCTCTCCTGATAGGGCCTTCCATAATTGCGTGAACAGCAGAGTTCTTCTGGATGTGATTCCTCTGAGTAAAGATAGACATTTTTTGGAGGGTCGTGGAAAACAGTCAGTGGATCTATAAAATTAATTATTATTGACTGATTTTATTGAATTGCGTTTTTTTTTATTTTTGAAGAAAATGTTTTCATTGGAGTCCTATTTGATCTGGGTTATAATGATTTTATACCTTTTTTTTTTTTTTTACTAAAACAGTGTTCCATCTTTAACTTAAAAGTATTTTCACTGAATCACCTCAAATATTTTGTGAAACAAATTCCAAAGAATAAATAAGTAAATTGCTGTATACCCAACTCAGTCTCTTTATTGGGTTTTGCAAATATTTATTAATTTAAAAATCATATTTCAGCCCCCGGGGTTTTCATATTAATTGCAAATTAAGTGGGCAGATTCAGCCATGATTAAAAATTTAGTGGAGAAATCAGCATTTATGTAAAGTAAATCTGTAGGTTCCAGCTAGGACACTTATTCATTTTGTTTCTTTTAGGTAGAGAATGTATGACTAAAACAGGCTCTCCAGGCTCCTTCCTCTATTGGCCTCACTGCTCTTTTATTAAATATAAAACAAAAATGTGACTGCTCCAGTTTGGAACATTTTAGGATTTTGTGGAGTTCTTCCAAGGTAGCTATTGAGGCGCGTTGCATCCATCCACTTGGGCACCTGCTTGGACTTGCTGTCGTCAGTCCAGAAGGACACCTGTGTCCCATTAAAAATGAGCCTTGTCATTATCTGCTGTTCTGTTGAATTGCTTGTTAGGTGGGAGGATACTGTTATTAGTTGTGGTAATAAGAATTCATTGAGTGCTAAAAGTGAGAATAGAATTATGCATTGGATTGGTTTTTGAGGTTCTTTTTTCAAAAATTGTTTTACTGTCATTCATTTCTTTCACATGAATTTTATAAGACCCCATAGTAGTTTTCTATGGCTGCCATAACAAATTACCACAAACTTTGTGGCTTAAAACAATGCAAACTTCTTATCTTGTAGTTCGGAAGTTTGACACGGATCTCACTGGGCCAACGTCAAGGTGTCAGCAGGGCTTTGTTCCTTTCTAAAGGCTCCGGGCGAGAGTCTGTTTCCTTGCGGGGCCCAGCTTCGAGAGGCCACCCCTATTCCTTGGCTCGTATTTCCCCCTTCCTCCATCTTCAAAGCCAGGAACAGCAGATTGAATCTCTTTCATGCTCAGATTTCTCCTGTCTCTTCCCATCTCTCTCAGATGCAGGTGGGAAAAGGGAAAGTTTCTCTGCTTTTGGGGGCTCATGTGATTAGATTGGGCTCACTTGCATAATCCAGCCTGATCTCTGCATCTCGAGGTCTTTAACCTTAAATATATCTGCAAAGTCCTTTTTGCCATGTAGATATGGACATCTTTGGGAAGCCATTATTCTGGCTACCACAGAACCTAAATATCTTTCTAGAATATTATTTCACGAATTTAAAACTTTTATATTTAAAAGATTATAGGTGTGATTTGAATTAATGCTGAGAAAATATATCATATCACCTCTAATTCTGTCTTCTGTGGCTTCAAACTCTTACCTGCAATTACCTGTTGATTGTGTTTTCTTATTTTGTAATCACCTTGTTGACTTCTGCTATGTAACAAACTGCTCCACTATTATTTATCATTGCTCACACGTCTCTGGGTCAGCTGATCTAAGCTAGTTTTAGATGGGTGTCTCTGATGACCTTGGCTGGGCTCCAGTCTGCAGGTAGCTGAGAATTGTCTAATCTAGCCCAGGGCTCTGGAGGCAGCTCTGTTTCACATATCTCTCATCCTCCCACCTTTGGGCTAGCCCAGGCATGTTCTTATGAAAATGGCAGAAATACAAACATACAAGTGGAAACATTAAGCCTCTTAAGGCCTAAGCTTTTAGTTACTTTTGCTTTATTCTGTTGGCCAGACTAGCCACATGGCCAAATCAAGGTACTAGGAAATATACTCCATTCTTTTAAGTGAGAGGAACTGCAAAGTCACTTAGCAAAGGGACTCTAATTGAGAGAGGCGTTAAAGAATTGGGGCCAATTGATGCAACTAACCCCACACTCAAACTCTATTCTCCCCAAACTGAACTCACCTCTGTGACTGTCTCCCTCCCAAGAAACCTGTTTTGCTTGCTTGCTTTCTGTTTTTAGTTAATGATACTCTCTATGTTTAGTCACCCAAGCCAGAAATTTAAGAACTATTCTAGAGTCTTCTCTTTTCCTTTTCCCTATCTTCAGTATTTACCTTGTAAATACCTTTCTAATCTCTCATCTTCTCCAGCCTATTCCCTTCACTGCTCTGGTTCAGGCTGTCATATCTCCTTGATAAGGAAGGGAGGGAATAGTGTCTTAATCATCTCCAATCCAGCTTCCTTCAAATCCATCCCTTATATTGCAGCCTGAATACTCTACCTGAAATGCAGACGCCACTCTCACTAGAGGAGGTCCTCCGTCATCCCTAATCTCCTGTCATCCCTAATCTCATTCATCATCTGCTCTTTCCGCCTTTTGCTTTACCTTTAGTTCAGGAGTCAGCAAAATATGGCTAGTGGGGCAAAAAATTTGGTCTGCCATCAATTTTTGTAGGGATCATGAGCTAAGAATGGTTTTTACATTATTAAATGCTTAGGGAAAAAAGGAAAATGAACAGTATTTTGTGACACATGAAAATTAGAAAATTTAAACCAGTCTTCATGAATAAAGTTTTGTTGGAACACAGCTACACTCATTCGTTTTATTGTCTATGGCTGTTTTTACATTACAATGGCGGGATTGAGTCGTTGAGACAAGAGCCCGTAAAATATTTGCTGTCTGGTCCCTTATAGAAAAAGTTTGCCAACCCCTGCTCTAGTCAGTTAGAATTTAGAAAAGCTCCCCTTGTGTACAACTCTATTTCACGCCTCAGTACTTTCATTGTGTTGTTTCTTTGCCTGGCTAACTATTTTTTTAAATAATAGCTTTATTGAGATATAATTTACATACTATACAATTCACCCATTTAAAATGTACATTTCAGTGGTTTTTAGTATATTCACAGAGGTGTGCAGCAATCACCACATCAGTTTTAGAACATTTTCATTATCTTCCCCAAAACCCCATGCCAATTAGAAGTCACTCCCCATTTTCCTAAACCCCTCCCCCACCCCTAGATAACCATTAAATCTACTTTCAGTCTCTATAGATTTGCCTATTCTTGGTATTTTATATAAATGGAACCATACAATATGTAGTCTTTTGTGACTGCCTTCTTTCACTTAGCGTAATGTTTTTAAGTTCATACATATTGTAACATGTGTCAGTACTTCATTCGTTTTCATTGCTGATTAATATCCCATTATATGGATACACCACATTTTATGTATCCGTCAGTTGATGGACATCTGGGTTGTTTTGACTTTTTGGCTACTGTGAGTAAAGCTGCTATGAACGTTTGTGTACAACTTGTTGTGTGGTTGTATGTTTTCATTTCTCTTGGTTATGGGCTAATTCTTCTGCATCCTACAAGAATTAACTTTGGAGTCATCTCTTCCAGAACTCTTCCCTAGCCTCCTAGGCTGGGTTAAATATCTTTTCCCTACAGCTTGACTAACACTCTCATAGTACTTACCACATTATATTGAAATTATCTGTTTACATGTCTGTCTCTTCTGCTCTAAGTTTCTGGAGAGTAGCATCAGTGCCTCACCCAACTTTTTATCAACTGCAAAAAGTACAAAAACTGTGTAATCTATGTTTTGAATTAAAATAAACTGTGTTTTTGTTATTTTTTCCATCTTCTGTACATTGGCTTTTTTTTTTTAAGTCTCTTGGAATACATATTGACATAACTGATCTTGAATTTATCTTTTTTTTAGGCCTGCAAAGAAAACAAAAAAAGGTGCCAAACAAAAAACATTGGAAGAGAAAAAAGATGAGATAGAAAAAATAAAGTCATACCCCTTTATGGAAGGCGAGCCTGAGGATGATGTCTACTTAAAACACTTATATCCAAGGCAGATATATGATGTGGAAAAAGCTATTCACTTACTTAAGAAATTTCAAATTCTGGACTTTACTAATCCAAAGCAAGGTGTTTATCTTGATTTGACGTTGGATATGGCACTGGGGAAGAAGGTATGTAGACTCAATTAAAATAAATTTATTTGCAAACAGTAGCTATATGAATTTCTATTCCTAAATTTTTAAAATTCTTGTCTCCTATAATAATTTTTAGAAAATTTTATGCTCTTTCTATACTTTAGAATGAAAAATATTTTTGTTTGTTTTTTAATTTTCCAAATATATAATGTTTGTTGACATAAAGTGACCAGCAACCTTTCTATAGATAAGAAGGGAAAGGTGAGTTTTACTTGAGCCAGGATCACTTGAGTGAGGATTATAACCTGGGAAGGCAGTTTCCACAAAGGAAGAAAGCACTCTGGGCAAGCATGGTTTTCAGTACAGTCTTACATCTTTTTAGAGCAGAGAATGTGCAGTAAACACAGGATACATATTCATCAAAGTTTCAAAGAGGGATTCAGTTGCAAATTGACAGGTCAACATGACCCTGATGTCCAGAAAGGGACAAATACAAGCCTTACCCATAGAGTGTTACTGATACTGGCATAGGAGGGGGAGTATGCACTCTTATCTTAAGAGAGTGCTTTTTTTTCTTTTTTCAGCTGAGGAAGATTAGCCCTGAGCTAACATCTATTGTCCATCTTCCTCTTTTTTTTTTTTTTTTTTTTTTTAAATATGTGGGTTGCAGCCACAGCATTTCTGATGATGATGAGTGCTGTAAGTCTGCACTCGGGATCCAAACCTAGGAACCTGGGCTGCCAAAATGGAGCACCCTGAAAGTGCATTCTTGACTTTAATGGTTAAAGCAGATATACGATGTATGTTTGATAGGCTGTAAGTCAGGGTTCTTTAGTTCAAGCCAAGTCTGTTTTGAACCAGAATAGCTAACCCATATACCCGAGTATGTGAAAATCTCTTGACGTGTTGAACATACTCTGCAGAGTTGATGAATATATTTCTCCTCTTCACCTGAAAATCAATGGTATAAAGTTCAATGAAAGTGGTGTTAAAATTAATTGAGGTGTTACTGTAACTTTGAAAAATGACTTAAGCTGCCTGGGTGTTGTGTTCCTTCTCTGTAAAGGAGGGTTTCGGACTAGCTCAGTGGCCTTCAGATGTGTTCCTCACAGTCTTGGGTTGAGACTAAATTTGCATGGGTGGGGTGCCAAGCTGCTCACTTTTGCTTCCACCAAGCCTCTCTCCTTTATCTGTTTATCTGTTGCAGTTCCATGGAAGACTTTTGTTTATAAAACTCTGAAAGTAGGAAAAACACTAGCTCTAAATTTTGTAAACTTCTCATTTAAGAAATCTAATTTTCTTGGAAATTGTATTTTAATTCTTATTCTGATGATGTCTTTTTTTGGTCAAACTAGAAAACAAGTTTTTGAATACAGTTTAACAACCTCAACAACAGCAGCCATAATTGAGCACGGAGGAGGAGGCAGTACAGTGTGGTGCTAAAGAGCGTGGGCTCTCGAGTCAGATTCCAGTACAGGCCAGAATCCAGGCACCACCAACTTGCTCTTTGACCTTGGGTTTCTGACTTACCCTCTTCAAATCTCAGTTTTTTCATCTCTTTATAAAGGGAGATAAAATGCTTAGTTCATATGGTTCTGGCGAGGATTAAATGAGATGGTAAATGTAAAGGACTTGGTAAGTGTTTAATAATAACAATTGACATTTATTGAAACTTTCTATGTACCAACCACAGTGCTAAACGCTTTGCATGCAGTTTTTCGTTTAATCCTGTAATCTTAGAAGAGGAAGCTGAGACACAGAAACTGAAGTAACTTGTTCAAGGTCACAGAGCAGAGGGTAGAGTTAGGATTTGAAGCAAAGTCTGTCTCATGTCTTAGTTCTTATTAATTAGAAACAGTTTATACCAGCTATGTTGTAATTTCATTCTATACTGTAGGGTTACTGTTAGTTCTCTTATTTTAAAAATGTTGTAGTATCCAAGATCACTTTCTCAGTCAACTATTAATGTAGTTCACAATGAAGTCTTGTAGGACCACAAGCTTCATTTCATAAATGGAAGCCACTTGTAAACTAGTAGCATTGAGGGTACTGTTGTCTTCCTAAGACATTTTTCACTTTTGATAGAGTGCTTGCCCAACAAGCCAGTATCCCCCAGGGGATGCTGTTATTGAGATTGTTTGCCATTGAAAATTTTACTGAAACCAGTTGTGACATGTTAATGGCCAAGGAATGCCAGTCAATAAGACTGAGTTGCATGTCTGATATAAAAGGTGCTTAAGAGTTTGTGCCTTGTTGTCTGAAAAGAAATCCTCAGGAGGTTATCTCTATTCAAAATAAAGTTTTTTCTAAAAATATAGTCTTTCAATCAGTTTTAACTAGGGAGCAACCCCTTTTCTCTTTCTTCCAGACCTTAAGGTTGCAGCAACATTATGGGCCCAGAACTTGTTTCCATGTGAAGTCTCCTTAAGAGATCTGAGCCACAGGCCTAGATAGATCTTTGACCAAATAACTGAACAAATAGTTCTGAGGCCCTGTAGAATATCCACCCGTGTTAGAGTCCTTCTAATGCATGCGGTTGTTTATTTTGAATTTTCCAACTGACTTCCCAAATATATCTGAAAGTGGTGGGTGATCCAGGTTGTTTCAAAGTAGAGCCACTCAGAAGAGCCTTTCAGGCTTGGCATTCTATCTTGGGTTTAGGGCTAATATGATCTCATTGTTTAAAGCCAGTCATGGAGATTATGGGTCACCTACCAAGAAGATCAGCTGGATATTATCTGTTGTTCTGTATGTAGCTGTATTCATGTCCTCTTTGATGGTTTCAAAAATTACATGTTCTTTTGAATTTAATTCAAGGTAGCAAACATTTACTGACATCCCTCATGTTGAAGATTTGTGCTAGGTGCTGGGAAAGATGTGGATATGCAGACAAATCTCTTAATATGAGAGACTGTGATGAATGATGTAGAGATAGAAGTCAAGTGCCGTGAGAGTATGGAGCTGGGAAGAGAGATTTAGATTTTCATTATGGTTTCTTACAAAAGAAATACAATCTCTTATGCCTTAAATTGTAATCAGTGAATAGTTCTGGATTAATGAGAGGACATTAAACATTAAAAACATGAAAAACAAAACTTGTGAGTTCTGTTTTTTATAGATGTGAGAGATACTAGAAAAGATGAATGAATTTTTCATAATTATTTTTTCATTGTTGTGTATTTAGAAAAAAGTGGAGCCATTTGCCAGTGTTCTTAGTTTTCCATACCCATTCATTTCAGAAATCAATAAAGTTGCTGTATTTACAAGGGTGAGTAAGCTTTGTCAACTTTTTATATCATTTAACTTTTTTTATGTATCACATTAATCAATAATTAGAATGACTGAATGAGTAGAGTTAGAGAAAATCCTAGCATTCACCTAGTCTTATTTTCCCCATTTGAAGCTCAAAGCAGTTAGATGACTTATTTGAGATTATGTCCTTAGTTTGAGAAAGAGCTAAACCAGAACATTAACTTCATCATTATTAGTCTACCACATTATGTTTCTCATGAGAAACTAAAGAGCAATATAGAATTTATTCTACTGTCTCATGCTTCCTACTCAAACTGCTCTCCTCAAACAACATTAATAAAATTATTTGAAAGCAGTGGGTTCACTTTAGTGCTGTGAACACACAGAAACACACTTTTAAATATATCCAGTCTGGAAAGTCAAGGAAGTCAAGGTTGTAACAAATATAGTAATACAGCTCTTTGTCAATCTTTTTGTATTATAAACGTTTTTTTATAATATGTTTATAAAGTTTTAAATTGTAAAGTGTTTTGATTCTTCTCCGTATACCTCACTTTCAAGGAATAAGTTCTTTACTTTTTTTCCATAAAAGTAGGGAATGTAGCTATTGGAATGCCACAAAATTTGAGAAACTAAGGGAGTGATACATTTTCAAAGTAGAACCAAATGGCATAAATGGAATATATGGAAAGAAAATAACTAATGCTTTGTATGTTTCTTTTGAATTTTCAGACAACAGACTAAATTTTGGTTCAATCATTTCTTAAATTAAAAAGCTTTTCCTCTTCTGTATTGGTTTGATAAAATGTTCTCCATTTAAGTTAGCAAAACTAAATACATACTTAATCTTTTCCTTTTGGAAGATGACGTATTGATGACATTGGAGACTTGGGTTGAACTGCTTGGTAGGTTCCTCATATGCCATTTTGATGTATTTCTTCATATGTTAGTCAAGAAATACCTTAAACCTAACTGAGTGTAGTATCTCTGATGCATCTAATTGAAAACTGATGCATTTTCAATTAACAGTTAAAACCACAATTTTTATTTTGAACTGTGATATTATTTCTGACAAAATACTTGAAAGCAGATTGAATTTGTTTAAAGATTGATATTCAAACTATTGTATTTTGGTAGAATGCATCAGAGATTAAAGTAGCAGAAGAAAATGGAGCTGCCATTGCAGGAGGAACTGATGTGATTCAGAAGGTACAGTGTGTTTTCATGTTCATTAGTTATAGAAATTGTTCTGTTGTCTTTGCCATCCATTGATGTATTGCATGTGGAACAACCACTGTGCTCATATATTTTGATAAATGGTTACAGAACTTTATAGAACAGGGAAAAATTTTCCTACTCTTGAGTCTCAAAATCAAGCTAAGAAAAAACTATTCTGATAGTCTGATATTAATTCTGCTTGATTTCTATTGTGATTTTTTTTTCCTTGCTTCCTGTATGTTTGTGAGATTTCTGTGGGTAGACTGAAAAGGGCAATGTGATTCTTTGTAGTTTTGAATGTAATATTTAAAGTGAAATTCAAAAGGTAGCACACATGGATATCTCTATTCATATGTTGAAGATCAAATATATGCTTTGCTTTCTTGGAGTGAAAAGTGTGATTAATTTCAGTAGATCACAAAGGGTAGTATTTGACCTCTAGAAAATGGAACTTTTGGTTACTCTTAACTTTTACCCTTCCAGTCAGTTCAGAGTGGCCATAGGCTCAGGATGGAGACAACAGTTATGAGCGTGCCTTGAGAAAATCACAAAGAATTTCTGGAGCCTGTTTGAAACCAGGACATTTTTTTTTTTTAAAGAGGTGGGAAGAAGAGGCACATCTGTTGAATTTTTAGGAGTTATTTCTGAAAATACAAAAGGTTTTCCTTAGGAGTCTCTAAAATTTCTTCTAAATCTAGTCATTGAGGTAATGGAATACTTTTCTTTTTGTTTTTAGAACAAGAAAAAGTGATTTGAAAATTTATCTTGTGTTTCATATGCAGGTTTTGATTTGAGGGAAGTTTTAATGGGGCCCTTCTTTTGGGATGCACAGCGGCGCTTCTAGTTTGTTTTTTTCTACTCCAGTACTACTCTAAATTTTGGTGTGGATTCTGAATTTTTAAGGAGAGTTTCCAGAATGATTTTCAGTTTCCAGAACTGATGGAAAATATGAAGAGATTATGCTGTCACACAGATTCTAGGACAAACTTAGAGAGTGGTACCCAATTCTTTCTGATGTATCATGAATTTTAATTTAATAAAATTATTAAAATTCTTTTAATTATTATAAAATAAACAATACCACAAATTCTTCAGAATTTGAGAGTAGAGCTTGGCCTCTGGAGTCAGAAAACTAACTAATCTTATTCAACTTGTATATTGCCTTCCATCTGTTTCCTTCCTGCAAGCATAAGAGTATTTTGTAGAACTGTCATAGCAACAATGGAGTTTAAATAGATACCTCCACTCCTTAAGTGTTAAGTAAGAAATTACTTCTCAAGAAAGAAATGGTAAGCAAGCAGAAAGTGTTCTGCAGCATTAAGTTCATTAAATAAAACATATTTGAGAAAGTAACCCAAAAAAGGACACCCAATCATTTTGAAATTACTTGGTAAATAAAATATTACAGGAACAGAATTTCTCTTTAGGTGCCCCAGTGATGATCTATTATTTGAGGGGAAAATGCCACCCATATAAGGCATCATAACCAGGATATTCTTGCATGGTAACCACCTGGTATCTTTTAAAACTCATCCGTATTATTTAGAAGCTTTTCAGGTTATGAAGTAAATTCAGTACAATTTTGTAAATAGTGTCATGGCTACAATTTTTTTTCACATTCCTATATTTTTTAATTACCTTAAATACTATTTTATTTAGCACTTGTAATAGACAAATGTAGGATAAATTTACTTAACTTTTAGTCACTTAGGTAAGACCTTTATTTACTAAATTCATTTTACTTTCTTTTGAAATATCACAAGTATGCTTGGTTCTGAGGGATTTTAAAGTAATTTCATTTTTACTCGTCTCTAAAGCATGATTTCCATCTACATAGTTTTGTATTATTCCATGCTGTGATCTTAAGGTTAACTATAGTGTAACTTTCAAACATAATTTTAAGTTTAATTTAATTCAAAGGATCATGGTTTAGAATCAGTATTGGAAGGTCTTGGAGTAGAAATTTCACATACATTTCTTTGACATTTCAAAATTGCCTTTGCTTTCATCTTTCTAGCAGTGAGAGCCCTGGTTCTGGAGCCACAGAACCTGTGTTTGAGTTCTGGTTCTGCCTCTTACAAATATACAGACTAACTCTTCCTCCCCAAGTCCTCAGTTTCCTTATCTGGAATGTATGGTCAATATTAGTACTTTCCTCAGAGGGTTATTGTAAAGACTGGGTGAACTAAACCATGTAAAATATTTAGCAGAATGCTTCACACGTGATAAGTGCTCATTTAATGTAAGCTGTTATTTTTAAGGGGAGTACAGTATGCTATTTAGGGAGTAGAGAACTTGTAAAAAGAAAGAATAGTAACAGGAAGATAAAATACCAAAATCACTGCTTAATTTTGCCAGAGTTCAAGTTTTTAGGGTTCACTGTATAACCCCAAACCAAGGCTTTAAATCACATATTGTGGTAAGATTTTATGCAAAAAGAATCATTAGTAAAATATTTGTTGCCCACTCAGTATTGTTCTAAAAAGTTGCTTTATTTTGTAACCAACTAAATTTTTAAAAGGAGTATATTGTAGTAGTATAATAATTATTTTGGGTGCTTGCCTGGGTTGATTTAAAATGTCTTTTAAAAATTGAAGTCATTCCCTTTGCTCTTAGAATGGAATTAGAGTATGGATGATAAACTGTAAATGAACTTATCTTTGACTATCCCACTCCTCTTGTATTTTTAGTTATTGGAGGCAAAGCGAATTTTAGTTTCATTTCTTTGTGAAAATAATTATAGATTCAGTTCTCTTACTACTCTAAATTTAGGAAGGGTAGTGTCCTTGCTAGTGATTTGGCAGCTAGTGGTTATTAATTTTATGTGTGATCTATTACAAAATTTTTAGCATGTTTCTTCAGTTTTAACGGACATATGAATTCAACTTTGTGGGGTTATATGAGCCATGTACACATCAGTGCTATGTTCTAGCTTATAATGCTTTTGCCTAACGTAACTCCATGTAAGAATTAAACCAATTAAATGTTTTTTTAAACAATGGATATGGCTGTTTTTGAAAGAAAACATCAGAAAATGTTTTGCTTTTGATGGTTTCATAACTAGTAAATGTGTTCATCTGATCCTTGTGTTTGAAGAAAAGAATTGTGGTTAATGTCTATTTTCTAAATTATAAGGGAAATTACTACATTATGCTCTGTTTATTTTCAGAAGGATAAAGCTTTTCATATAATCTAAGGTTATCTTTTTTCCCCTGATTTTCAGATTTTGGATGATGAAATTCAATTAGACTTTTATGTAGCTGTTCCAGAAATAATGCCTGAGCTTAATCCATTAAAGAAGAAACTGAAAAAAAGATTTCCAAAGCTTGCTCAAAGTAAGGGAGAATTTTTTATTATTTCAATAGGCTATCAACAGTTTTCTAATATATATGTTTAGTTAGAAAACAAAATTGCTAATATATGTGTAGAATAAATAATATGTCCTGGTATTTGGGTTTTGTGTTATATAAGAACATGTGGATTTGATCCTTTTTCCTTTGGTATTAATATTGGTAATCTAATGTAATTTGAAAACCTAGCTACTTTATAATACCAGTTCTTTAAATTTAGGTCATATTCTAGCTTGAAATTAATAGAATTTATTACCAACTAGGTATGTTGTCATCATTACTATTTTATACCTCTTTATCAATATAATATGTGTTATATGTAATATTGTCATATATGTCAATATTCGACATATATATGAATGCTTACTCTATGCAAGGCTCTCCAGATATTTCCCTTAAGGAACCTTCCCCTTTTGGATATTCTCTCTTTGAAATTCTAGTAGGAGAGGTAAGATTGCTACATAAATAGCCATGTTATAAAGTATGAAGTATTATGTGATAAATTCACAAGGTGCTGTAGGTATTCAGTAGAGGAGGACATGGTATTCAGTAGAGGGGACATGGGTTTTACACATGAGTGGGGAAATCAGAGAAGGTATCCTGAAGGGGGTGACATTTAAATGATACTTTGAATAATTAGATGAGCAGATTAAGGGGAATATTATTTTAAGTAGAAAGAATCTATTAGTCACAGACACTGAAGTAAGTCAGAAATTACAGGCCATGTACAAGAAATATCAATTAGTTCTCTTTGGCTGTAGTGAATGGTACCCTTACATTGAAATGAAAGAGAATAATGGGAAAGTATGTTGGAAAGGTAGGTTGATGCCATATTGGAAAGGATCTTGAATAGGACCCTACTAGACTTGGACTTTTATTCTGTATTCAGCAGGGATCTCTTAGAAGTTTTTAAGGTGGGGCGTTCTGTAGAGCTTTAATCCAGCTCTAGTTTGTATGGTGGATTGGCAAGAATCAAAACTAGAGGCACGGAGACGAGTTTGGGTGCAGTCCCCAGAGGCTAATAAAGGTAGTGTTTAAACTCAAGTCTTCGTGATGAAACTGGAGGGAGGAGGACAAATGTCAGAGATATTAGGACTTTGCACTAAGTAGTTAGGAATGGACAGATTGAGTGAGAAGGGAAGAGTCAAATGATGCTGAGATTTTTAAACCTAGGGATCTTTCCTAGTAAGTTGATATCCTTAATAGGAACAGGGAGTAGATTTGGGAGGAAAAATAAATTCATTTGCAGACATAGTTTCTTTTAGGTGGTGCTGGGTATCTGCTGTAGATAGGTGTTATTTTGAATAAAATTTTATAGTGTAAGCAGAACAAATACTTTAAAATTGTTTTAGTAGATTGGTCTTGAGATTTCAACTCTGAGTTTAAAAAATCCTACTAAAATTCTTCATACATGATAGCCACTAACACTTAGCTGAATTATAGTTCGTGTTCTGTATGTGAAGCGAATTCAGATGTACTCTCCAGTTCTTTTGTTATACTAGAGTTTTGTTTGTTTTTGATTGCTGCATTGAATAACACATCCTTATTATATATTGGACTGAGGTTTGGCACTTTTTATTAGGGATTTCCATTACAGTAGTATTTGTTGCTGTGGAATCAGACTTATATTCTTTTCTAAGACCTGAATTTGAACATTATTTTAAAAATTAAACCAGAATTATAGTTAAATTTGATGTAAATATTTCATAATTTTTTTCTCATTAAATTCAAGTTCAGCAAAACCAAACAATACTAAATGTAGTCAATTAGAACTGAAACTGAATACTGAATATATCTGTATTCAGCCAGCTCTTTGCTTTGCACAGTGAACTGGTTTTTCAGAAATTGATTTTGTCACCTTTGCTACTTTGTACATTCTCTGAATAACCCTGTTGGCCTCTATTTTCTTTAGCCTTGAGTTTTTTTTTTTATTACCATTTTCCTCACAAAATTTGGGACTACTGTTTTTAGTCTGAAAGATTTTCAAATAACTTATTTCTATATTTCAAATAAGAAAAGTTTTCCTTTAAAATGTTTATTTTTATTAATGGGCTTTATTTCTACTTTCATAATGAATCATAGCTTCCGTACACCATGGCCAAGTTACCTAGGTATGTCCACCGCCCATTTGCCTAACAAAGCATCTTGAAAAAACAGACAGACCTTTCTCCTTCTCTAACTTTTTTCACCCCCACGCAATCTGTTTAACAGCACTGGCAAAACATTTGTGTTCTTTAAACATGAAGACAAACGATTAACCTGTCAAAAATGTTAAAACAGAATGCACCAGATGTGCGTTAGAACAAATGCAGCTTGTATTATGCATTTTCAGAGCTTATCCAGATTCTTGTTTAGGAACATTTGATTCCCCTTATATCCAACAAAAGACTTTAGGGTAAAATAGAAATTACGTTTTGAGCACATGGGTAAAATTAAAAAACAAACAAACGAGCCCCTGCAGCTGAGCTCATTAGTTTCCCGTTTTGTCTTACATTTTGTTTTACTAATGGGAGTGGGTGTAACCATCCTGGCCCAGAGTGAATGTGCACATTTTGCAGCATGTTTAATGTTGCAGTTTGATTCGTTTTAATTGCTTACGTAACTGTAGGCAGGTTCTCTATTTTTCAAAATTTCTTTTTTATTTAATAAAAAAAGACATTTAAAACATTTTAAAATTTCTTGAAAGAAATTGGGCTTCCTTTTGCTTGTCAGTTAGCTTTTTTCCCCCTAATATAAGTACCCTCTGAAATTCTTTCGTTTCTAATATAAATATATCTTGTTGATATATATATTTTATTCCTAATCTTACCTATTATTTACTATTTACTAAACAAAAAATACTGTGTAAAAATATCTTCACTTAATGGATTCAGTTTTCTATTGTGCATATTAACCCATGGTAGGTCCTATAGCTTATATGGAAACTGTTGAATTCTTTTAAACCAGACTAAGTTATTGGCAGGTAGGCGGAAAGGGTCATGATTAGGAAATTGGACCCACTAATGTGTATTCCTCTTAACACATAGTTCTTAGAATTGAACTTCAGTGCTCTAGTTGGAGTCTTGTCAAAAGGATATTCCCGCAGGCTTGTCCAAATAGTATTCACATCTGCTGAGTAGGTCCCTGCTTTCTGTGAGGAAGTTGGTGTTGTATCATATTTGCATTATTGAAACAGTTAGAACTCTTTGGTTGTATAAAGCAAAATGCTAAAACATAGGGAATTTTTGCAGAGTAATCAATTTGAAATTTTCCTAAATTCCTCCCCTCGATGTATTAGTTTAAAAACTGTTTATGTTTGAAAGACTTCAGTGATGATTAGGCATGATTATAATTATTATAGATGAATTATTGATATATTTCAGCTGGTTCTATTATCTTTTCTTCATTTCCTTCATCCAGCCGTAGTGGCCTCCTTGCCCTTCCTCATACACACTGTGTTCTCCCTTCTCAGGTCTTTGGACTTACTGTCCCAGCTGTCTGTGATGCTCTTTGCTTATTTGTCTGGCTCATTTTCTCATTCAGATATCATCTAAACAGAAAGGCTTTCCATGACCATCTTACATAAAATATTACCCCTCACTTCTCATTATCACTGGATTTCTCATTATTATGTTTTTGTATCCTTTTTAGGGCTTATCACTCTTGTCATCTCATATTTTTTATTTGTGTGTGTGTTCAGTTCCTCCCATTAGAGTAAGGACATTTTTAGTTTTTTTCACTACTGTATTGCCATGGCCTAGAATGGTAATGGTACCTGGCACAAAGGAGGTACTCAACAAATATTTGTACAGTGAATGCACATTTAATGCAGCATGCAGTTGATAGAAGATATGGATTAAATACTGCCACTAAAGAATGGCTTACCTACAATTTATGGATTTTTTTGGATTAGAATAATTATATTTATAGTTATTGAGTATCTGCTATGTGCCAAGCCTTGAGTGTGATGGCTGTGAACAAGACAGACAAGGTCCTTGCTGTCTTGGAGCCAGCAGTTTCGTTTTCTATCACTTGGTACATAAAGTGTTATCAGATAGTGGTGGTCAATGGAGTTAGACAGTGGTAAGCAGTGCGCCAGGTCATGAAGGGCTTTGTGTCCCATACCATAGAGATTAGATTTTATCTGCTATGTAGATAGGAGCCATTGAAAAATATTGCTGAGAAGAATGATAGAAGATTTGCTTATTAGACTGACTATATGTGAGACTGTGTAAGGGATAGGGTGGTGATATGAGGATGGTGAAACTTTTAAGAACAGAGACCAGTGAGGAGGCTAATACAGTAGGCTAGGTAAAAGATAAATAAGGACAGAATCTGAGCAGTGGCAATGAAGACAGAGAAGAGGAAGGCTTTTGTGGGATATTGAGGAGGTAGCATTAACAGGGTTATTGATTAGATGTGGGGGGTAAGGAAGAGGGAGGAATCTAGAATGATTCCCTAATTTCTGTCTTAAGTAGCCCAGTGAAGATTATTTTGAAGATAAATATATAGGTGATGAAGCAGGTTTGGGCATGACAATAAAATTGTGAGGTGAGGTAGGGAGGATGGAGATAGGCTGGTACAAATTTATTGTTTTCCTGAAAGTCAGTCAGTATTAAGATGAAGTAGGTTGTGATAAATAAATGTGCACATTGTTATCTTTAGAACAAGTAAAAAACACGTACACAAAAGGAGATAGAACTTAAAACTAAATAGAGGAATAAAAATAATATATTAAAAAATTTTTGTTTAAAACCAAAGAAGGCAGTAAAGGAAGACTAGAGGAACAAATGAGATGAGACAAATAGAAAACACATATCAAAATAAAGACCTAAATCCAGCCATATCAGTAGTTAAGTTGATTGGAAGTGGAATTAACACTTTGACCAAAAGGCACAGATTATAAAATGATGAAAAAGCAGTCCAATTATATACTGTCTACAGGAGACACACTTTATGTTCAAGCATAAATTGGCTGAAAGTAAAATGAAGAGTAAACATATATGATGAAAATGATAAGCATTAGAGATTTGGTTTGACTATATTAATGTTAGACAAAATAGACTTTTAATACAAGGAATTTACTAGAGAAAACAATGGATATTCTATAATGTAATAAAAGGGCATGCTTATCTAAAACAGAGCCACAAAATACAGGAAGCAGAAACTGACAGAATTGAAAGGTGAAGTAGACTAATCACTGGGTACAGCTGGAGATTTTAATACTCTCTCAGTAACTGATGGAAGTTATAGATAGAAAATCAGTGAGGCTATAAAGGACTTGAATAATATTGTCAACTAGCTTGGCCTAATTGATATCTGTAGAACTGTTCACGCAACCATAGGAAGTGTTATTGGTGTGCACTTTTTAAGTGTACATGGAACATTCACCAGTGAGACCATTTGCTGGGTTATATGGCAAGTCTTAGTAAATTTAAAAGGATTGAAATCATGCAGAGTATGTTTTCTAGTCCCAACAGTTAAATCAGATATCAGTAACCAAAAGAAATATGAGATATCTCCAAATACTTTAAAATTAAACAACCCATTTCTAAATAAGCCATAGATCAAAGAAGAAATCACAAGAGAAATTAGAAAATGTCTTAAACTGAATGACATACGTAACACAACATATCAAACACAACATATCAAAACTTGTGGGATGCAGCTAAAAGCAGTACTTAGAGGGAAATTTTTAGCTTTAAAGGCTAAATTAGAAAAGAAAGGTTTAAAATCATTGTTCTAAGCTGTTACTTTAAGAAGCTAGCAGAAAAGAAGAAAATTAAATCCAAAGTAAGTAGAAGGAAGAAAATAATAAATATCAGAGTGGAAGTCAATGAAATTGAAAAAGGACAAACAGAGAAAAGCGGAAAGGAAAACTGGTTCCTTAGAAGATCAATAAAATTGATAAAACTTTAGCTGGACGGATTTTTTAAAAAGAGCACAGATTATCGAGATCTGGAATGAAAGGGGTACATCAATATATATCCCATAGACATTAAAAGATAATAGGGTAGTATTATGAACAACTTTATGCCAATAAATTTGACAACTTAGGAAATGGACAAATTTCTTGAAAGACACAAATTCCCAAAAGTGTCCAGAAGAAATAGAAAATGTAAATAGATCTGAATCAAGTAAAGAAATTGAATTAGTAATTTACAATTCCCACAAGAAAAGTTCAGGCCCGCATGACTTCTCACTAGTGAATTCTATCCAACATTTAAGGCAGAAATAATACCAATCCTTCACAACCTCATTTAGAAAATAGTGGAGAAGGAACACTCAGCAACCCGTTTATGAGCTCAACATTACATAGACATCAAAGCTATGCAAGGACATCACAAGAAAAGAGAACTACAGACTAATATCCCTCATGAGCATGGAAGCAAAAATCCTGGATAAAATTAGCAAATTGAATCCAGCAGTATGTATGTATATGTGTATGTATATAAAGATTAGAAAACCTTAATCAAGAAGATGTATTCCAGGAATACAAAGTTTGTTTACATCTGAACATCAATATAATATACCATGTTAATAGAATAAAGGATAAAACCTGTAAGATTATCTCAGTAGATGCAGAGAAAGCATTTGACAAAATCTCACACCCATTCATGATAAGAAGTCTCAGAATACTAGGAATAGAAGAGAACTTCCTCAACTTGACAGAGCACATCTGTGAAAAATTGCAGCTAATATCATTCTTAAAGAGACCATTAAGACTGAATGCTTTTATGCCTAAGATCGGGAACAATGCAAAGATCTCTGCTCTCACCACTTACGTTCAACGTTGTAACAGGTCAGAGAAATAAAGGGCATACTTATGGAAAAGGAAGAAATAAAAACCTGTCTTGATTCCTAGAGGATATGATCCTGAGATATTCTAGTAAGTGAATTCTAATAAATGAATTTAGTGCGGTTATAAGATATAAATCAACACACAAAATCATCTGAATTTCTAAGTACTAGCCATAGACAATCAAAATGAAATTTATAAAACAGCTTCATTTATGAGAATATAACAAAGCAAAATACTAATGAATAAATTTACCAAAAGATATGCAAGACCTATTCAAAGAAAACTACTAAATGTTACTGAAAGTTTAAAGAATACCTAAGTAAGTCAATAAAAGGATATGCCATGGCTATAGATTTGAAGTATAATATTGTTAAGATGGAATTCTTTCCACATTTTTCTATAGATTTAGTGTAATCCCAATCAAACTCCCAGGAGGCTTTAAAATTTTTTTAGAAATTGATAAGCTTATTATAACATTTAAATGGAAGGACAAAGGACCTGGAGTAGAAAAATGATTTTAAAAAGGAAAAACAAAGGTCTTCGAGCAAAGTTGCGTTACCTGATTTGAGGCTTTACTATAGAGCTACAGTAATCAAGACAGTGTGGTATGGTGTAAGGATAAATGACTATAGATCAAGCATTGAGTATTCAGAAATGGACCCACACCTAACAGTCAACTGATACCATTTTGACAAAGGTACCAAAGTTATATTGAGAAAGATTAGTTTTTTTGATGAATGGTGCTGCAATAACTGGAAATCTCTTTCCTTACATCAAACACAAAAATGAATTCAAAATGGGTCACAGACCTAATTGTGTGGGCTAAAACCATGAAATTTTAGAAGAAAATTTTCTAGGATAAAATCTTTAAAGCCTTGGCTTAGGCAAAGATTTCTTAGGATACAAAAAGCATGAGCCATAGAAGAAAAAGTTGCTAAATTGGACTTTATCAAAATTAAAAGCTTTGATCATGGGAAGCCACCACTAAGAAAATGGAAAGACAAGCCACAGGTTGGGGGGAAATACTGGGCACAAATATATCTAATGAAGGACCAGTATCCAAAATATATAAAGAACTCTTAAAACTCAGTAAGAAGACTATCAACCTAGTTTTTTTAAAAAAGGGGCAAAAGAATTGAACAGGCACTTACAAAAGAAAATACACAATTCCCATTAAGCACATGAAATGATGCTTGACTTCTTGGTCATTAGGGAAACGCAAATTCACATCAATGTGCTTTGGTTAGAAGAGAAAGAGACTGAAAAAGGAATATATAAGGTCAAGAGAAGGAAGTTTTATTTGTGTTTGTTTTAGGATGGAACTGGCTTAAAAACTCAAATCTATATCATTATCCCCAGTCTATCACTTTTTTCTAGTTTCTTGTTTCTAACTGTATACAGTATTTAGTATTCTCTCAGCACCTTCACTTCAGTATGTTTTAATGCAAAACTATTTCTCTTTCCTTCTTAAGCCTTATTCTCTCCCACTTCATTATCATTACAACATTCATCATTATATCGAGTTCAAAATGATGAAGTCATTTGTTTGTTCGTCCTTTCAGCAAACATTTGTCAGATTGTACTCCTTACTATTTACCTACCTGCATCTAGGTGGAGATAATCCAGTAGGTAATTGGAGATCGTGAGAGAGCTTGTGGCTAGAGATATAAATCTGGCAGTTACCAGTGGATAAATGATGTTTAAAGCCATGTGTCTGGATGAGATCACTTAGGGAGGTGTGTGTGGATAGAAAGAGAGGCCAAATGACTGAACCCTGAGGTAGTTCAACCTTTGAAAGTCAGTTAAGTGAGGGTGGCTCAGTCAAAAGAATAGAGTGTAGCAGCTAGTGAGAGTAGTGTTTCAGAGGACAAGTCAAGACACTGTAGGAAGAGGAGAGAGAGACTCTGAACTACTGTTGATAGGTCAAGTTAGTGGGACACTGAGAAATAAATGACTATTGGATCTGCCAGTGTGAAGGTCATTGGTGATGTTGACAAGATTATTTTCAGTGGAGTAATGGGAATGATAACCTGATTAAAGTAAGTAGGGATAAAAGAAAATGGAAGGAGAAGCAGTAGAGGCAGAAAAGAGAGACAGCTTTTTTTGAGAACTTATGCTCTTAAGAGGAGTATTGGATGGTCACTGGAAGGCGATATGAAGTCATAGACTTGTTTTATTTTAAGATGGGAGATTTTATAGAAACTTTGTAATCTGATGACAATGATCTAGGAAAGCAGAAAAATTGACAATGTAGAGGAGAGAAGGGAGGAGTGGTGTCCCTCTATAGGTGAGAAGGAGTGGGATCCAGTGCTCAAATGAAGAGGAATGGCCTTTGCTAAGAGCGTAGACAGTTCATCCAAAGTGACAGGAAGGAAGGCTGTTTATTATTATACTATCTGTCATACTGTTTAGTACTCAATTACATAAGAATGTGATACTAAAAACCGTTAGTATTTTTCAGTATCATGGATTTATTTTGGATTATTTATAGATTTATATCATGGGTTACTTTATAGATTTTATTTTAATTTGTTGTCAGTGTTTCTAAAGTATGATAAGCATCATCATTGCTTATACTTACTAGTTATCTATTGCTGTGCAACAATAATACCACAAATTTAGTGGCTTAGAACAACACACATTTACTATCTCAGCTTCTGTCAGGAATGTGTGTATAGCTAAGCTGAGTTCTCTGCTTCAGGTTCTCAGAAAGCTCTAATCAAGGAATCGGCTGGGGCTGTGGTGTCATCTGAGACTTGACTGGGAAAGATCCACTTCACAACTCATGTGGCTTTTTGGCAGAATTCGGTTCTTTGTAGGCTGCTGGACTGAGGGCCTCAGTTTCTTGCCCTGTGGCCCTCTCCATGTGACACCTCATAACATTACAACTTGCTTCTTCAAATCTAGTAGGAAGAGAGTCTCTTCCAATATAGGCATTACAGCTTTATGTAATGTAATCATATACACGTAAGCATTGTGTCTCTTGGTTAGAAATAAGTTGCAGGTCCCATCCAAACTCAAGTGGAGGGGATCACACAAGGGCATGAACACCAGGAAGTGGGGCCACTGTAAACTCTGTCACAACTTATTTGCTATATTTTAACGTGAGATGGATATTTCTCTTATTTGGTCATTTTTGCTACTTGTTTGGATGTAGTGATAACTTTGGATTTTTTAATTTTTCTACCAGATTCCATTGGCCGTGACATCCCCAAAATGCTTGAATTATTTAAAACTGGACATGAAATTAAGGTAGATGAAGAAAGGGAGAACTTTCTCAAGACCAAAATAGCAACAGTAAGTTACAGTGGAAATTATTCAGCAACATTCTTTCTTTTTTGCTTATGTGATTCATTAATAATTTATATTTATTTACCAGTCCTTTGAACTCGTTCTTGTCACTGGTATTAGGAGTGGCACTAAATATTCACAGATAATTTTTTTTTAACAGATTGAACTTATAAATTTTAATAGTACTATAGAATTATTTCCTTGCAGAGTTATTTGCCACTGACTTTTGCTTGTACTTTGCCTTGACTATCTATTCTGTGTATGCTATTTTTGCTTTCTAATATTTTAAGCTTTTTGAGCGTAGGGTGTAGATGTTTTATGTCCCGTGTAGAACATTGCATAATGCTGAGCCCATAGCACGTATTTAATACTACTTTAATGGAATTGAGTAATTTGCTTTATTTTTATGAATTGTTTCTGATTATCCCTGCTTTTGTTTTAAAAACTGTTTGCCTACTTACAGAAGATGCTGGAAATCAATTTCCAAAGCCATTTTTAGGATACTAATATAGATATGTCAGATTTTTCTAGGACTATGTTTTTAAATATGTAGTTATTTGCTAATATCTTCTTCATACTAAAGAATCTCTAAAGTGCCTATTTAATGTGTGTAATTTTTTTCACGTGCAATTTTAACTATAGGAATAATAGCAATATTGATGGCAAAATTTAAATAGTGCCCACCAAGTCCCAGGCACTATTCTAAACACTTTCCATATATTCTGTCTTTCAGTTGTCAACCCTATGAAAGATAAATTATCATCCCCATTTTATAGATGAAGGCATGGGAGCCCAGAGAGTTCAAATAACTTTTCCAAGGTCTCACAGTTAGTGTAAGGCAGAATAAATATTAAACCTTAGTCTCCTCAGGAGTCCAGGCTCTTTACCCCTATACCATCTTGCCTCATGGCTAGAATTATTTGAATAGCTGTTATTCCTCCTCCCATCCTCCTCTTAAGAGGAATTCTACATTATAGCCTTGGGTTTGAATGCCTGTTCTGCTATTTAAGGGGTGGCAGACTTTAAACAAGTTTCTTAATGTTGTTGAGTCTCAAATTTCCTCAGCTATAAAGTTTGTAGTAGTAATATCTATTTCACAGTGTAGTTTTGAAGATTAAATAAAATTTTAAAATGGTAGCAGTTGTTGTTACCGTTTTGATTGGACTTTTTGGGACTATAGAATGTTTTTCTTCCTAGCTGGACCTTTTCTTTTTCTTAAGTAATTGTTTTCAGTAGATTCAGTCTTTAATCGTTTAGGTAGATCCTGACTCAGAGTATGAGAAACCATGGTATCTTATTCATTCTTTTCAACAAATACCATAGTGATTAAGACATGGGCTCCAGATCAGGCTACCTGTATCTTTTAGAGATATAATGCTTTTTCTTAATGAAAAAGAAATTAATTTTTGAATACTATTTAAATATTATAGTATTGTAGGAGGTTAAAGAGAGTGAGTTTTGGATTCATATTGTCTGGATTCAAATACTAGTTTTAGATTAGAACTGTGCCACCCTGTTCTCTGAGCCTCAGTTTTTCCCATTCTCTGTTTCCCAGATATGTAAAATGAGGTTCATAATAATAAATACTTTCTAGGCTAGGAAGGAGCAGATGAGATAATGACCTAGTAACTGTTAAGCAGACAGACTTCTCCTTCTGGCTGAGATGGAGTAACAGGGAACTGATTTGCCCTCCCACCTGAAACAATAAGCATTACCTTGATACCAAAACCAGACAAAGAAAATGATAGTCCAGTATCATTCATGAACATAGATACTAAAATTATAAACTAAATTTTAGCAAATAGAATCCAGCAATATGTGAAAAGGGTAACATACCATGACTAAGTAGGATTTATCTTAGGAATGCAAGGTTGGTTTAGCATTCAACTGTCAATCATTATAATTCACCATATTAACAAACTAAAAACCAAAAGCCATGTGATCATCTCAATAGATAAAGAGAAAGCATTTGACAGAATCTAACGTTCACTCCTGTTTAAAAAGTCTCAGCACACTAGGAATAGATGTTAATAACATCCTTAACCGATAAAGGGCATCTAAGACAAACCAACAGCTGACACCATACTTAGTAGTGAAAGACTGAATGCTTTCTTCCTAAGATCAGGAACAAGATAAGGTTATCCGCTCTCACCACTTTCGATCTTGACCTAGGGAGTCTAGGCAGTGCAATCAAGCAAGAAGAGAGGCATGTGGATTAGAAAAGAAGAAATAGTACTGTCATTATTCGCAGATGACTTGATCTAGCTGCTAGAACAAGGAAGGGAGTTAAGTAAGGTTGCAGATAGAAGATCAATATGCAAAAATTAGTTTTGTTTTTATGTAACAGCAATGAACAATAAGAAATTTAAAAAAATAAATGTTATTTATAGTAATATCAAAAATATGAAATACTTAGAGACAAATCTGGTGAAAGATCCATACACTGAAAACTTCAAAACATAGTTGAGAGAAATTAAAGATCTAAATAAATGATGAGATGTTCTATGTTCATGGATCAGTAAACTCAGTATCGTTAAGATTTCACTTGTTTCCAAAATAATGTGTAAGCTTAGCACATTCTCAATCAAAATCCCATTTAGCTTTTTTGTAGAAATTGACAAGTTGATTCTAAAATTCATACAGAAATACAAAGGATCCAGAATAACCAAAACAACTTTGACAAAGAACAAAATTGGAAGTCTACCTGCTTTCAAGATTTATAAAACTACAGTAATTAAGACAATGTGATATTGACATCAAAAGAGACAAACCATCAATGGAATAGAATGGAGTCCAAAAAGAAATGACAGAACATATATGGACAACTGATTTAAAACTAAGTGTAAAGGCATTTTTAATGGAGAAATGATAGCCTTTCAACAAATGCTACTGAAACAATTGGATGTCTTTATGCAATAAAATGAACTTTGACCCACACTTCATGCTCTATATAATTAACTCAACGTGTATCAAAGACCTAAATATAAAGTCTAAAATTATGAAACTTCTGGAAGAAAAATTTGAGTTAGTGAGTGATTTCTTAGCTATGACATCAAAAGCATGATCCACAAAAGAACAAACTGATAAGTTGCTCTTCATATAAATTAAAAGATTTTGCTCTTTAAAAGACATTGTTAAGAGAATAGAAAGATAAATCACAGGCTGAGATAAAATATTTGCAAATTATATATCTGATAAATCCACAAGATATAAAGAGCTTTCAAAACTCAATCATCAAACAACCCAGTTTTAAAAATCAGCAAAAGATTTGAACCCACCTCACCAAGATGTGACAAACACATGGCAAACAGATGACGAACACATTGAAAGATGCTCAACATTATTAGTCATTAAGGAAATACAAACTAAAACCACAATGAGATATCACTATACATCTATTAGAATGACTAACATTAAGAAGACTGACCATACCAAGTGTTGGTGAGGGTGTGGAGAGACTGGAATGCTCAGACACTGATGGGCGTATGTAAAATGATACAACTTCTTTGGCAAACAGTCTGGCAGTTTAAGAAGTTTAACATCCACCTGCTACATGATCCCACCATTCCACCTTTAGATATTTACCCAGGAGAAATGAAAACATAGATCCATACAAAGACTTGTAAGCAAACGCTTATATCAGACTTTTTTGTAATAGTCAAAAACTGGAAACATTTCACATGTCTGTCAACAGGTGAATGTATAAACAAACTTTGTTATATCTATACAATAGAATATTCTTAGTTATAAAAAGAAACTATTGATACATGCTTTAACATGGATGAATTTAAAAGTAATTATGCTGAGTGAAAGAAGCCAGACAAAAAGGAGTGCATTCTGTATGATTCTATTTATATAAAATTCTGGCAAATGCAAAGTAGTGTATAGTGACAGAAAGCAGACAGGTACTTGCCTTGGGGACTGGGGTGGGTGAAGAGGGTGGGAAGGACGGATTACAAAGGAGCACAAGGAATTTTGGGGATGATCAACATGTTTATTATCCTGACTGGTGATGGTTTCACGAGTGTACATATGTCAAAACTTAATAAATTGACTCCTTAATGATGTGCAGCATATCCCGTGGAATACTATCTAGCAATAAAAAAGGAACAAACTGCAGACACATGCTGCAATACAGGTGAACCTCAAAACATGCCCAGTGAAAGACACCAGACACAAAAACCACATGCTGTGTGATAGCATTTATGTGAAATATCCAGAAAAGGCAAAACTATAAAGCCAAACAGTAGATTAGTGGTTGGTGAAGGCAGGAGGAAACAGGAATTAACAGTCAGTGTGCACGAGAGATCATACTGGGGTCATGAAGATGTTTTAAAACATGGTGATGGTTGTACAACTTGATAAACTTAATAAAAAATCATCAGATTGCAAATTAGAAAATGGTGAATAATATGATATGCAAAGTATGCCTCAATAAAGTGATTAAAAATGTGCAGCATGTCAGTTATACCTCAATAAAGTTGTTTAAAAAGGAGTAAAAATCTGAATCTGTTTATAATTGTATCTAATACAATATAACTATTCCATTAAAATATTTATTATTGTAATTATGAGATAACAGATTTTAAAAAAAGATTTCAAAGCAAACTATCTTCCTTAAAAGTTTGAGATTTCCATGAGTGATGTATTATACAATTGGAAATAGTGAAGATGTGTCTTTATTGTTGTTGTTGCCACCTGTGTGGTGTAAGAATTGGATGTAGAATGAGTGTGCTTACGAAAGGGCACTGACAGGATTACGTGCCTGTTAGGGGTCCTCCTCATTTTGGATAAAAGGCGGGTGGCTAGAGCAGGGTCAACAAACTCCAGCCCCCGGGCCAAATCCAGTTGTGGCCTGTTTTTATGCAGTCTGTGAGCTAAGAATAAAGTTTTAAATGGTTGTGAAAAACAAAACAAAGAATTTGCTGCAGAGATCATATATGGCCCAAAATGCCTAAAATATTTACTGTCTCGTTCTTTAGAGAAAAGGTTTGCTGACCCCTAAT